AAGCGCAAACAGAGAGCAGTTATTTATTCAGGGGAGATTCTGTCACTATGTAAATAGGAATTTATAGTAACCTGATTTAAAGGCTGACCTTTAAATCAGGTTACAGGGTGTGCTATGCATCTTTACGACTTCCTTCATCATACACCAGCTTAAATATTATGTAACATGCATTATGACAAGGTTTTCTTTCAGTGAGTTGACTCAGTCTTTATATCCAATGTTTACACAGAGTCAAAACACATCATCTTTTCTGACACTTTTCCTCCTACCTTAGCAGTGAGTAACATGGAAAAACTGTGTGCACAGATGTATGTTTATCTCTGACCTGCCCAGGCTTGAACTTTCCTTACCATTGTCATCAACACAGGGCGAACCGGTGATTTACCTGAAACATGCCGTGTCCTAAAGAATGTGTTGTAATTACCACCTAATGCTTACTTTACAGTTATTTTTCCTGTTGGTCCAGATTTTAAATTGCACGCTTTCCTTGCCTCGTGTACCAAATGCACAGTCAGGACACATAATCAATACCACCCCCTGCCCCTCCAGTGCACGTCAATCACACACCAGTTCTTCTTCTTAACACATCGATTTCTGTGGATTGATCGCCACTGCAGGCAAAAGAGAAGAGCCAAAAAATTAAAGAGGTTTTGATTTTTCCACTGTGGGGCCAAGATCTTTTTTAGGATTTTTTTGCATCCCTGGCTCAATTTTTATGTAATCATTGAAAGAGCGTGAAAGAAATAGGAGAGACGGATGCACTGTCCAGCTACAGCTCAGCGTAATCGCTCACAGGGTCAGACAACTGAGCGCTCACTCCTGCTCTCCCCCATCTCTCCCTCTCATGTTGTCATGCACGTGCCAGACACACAGACAGACTCGAACCAACAAACACTGGGCATTGTTAATCATGCCAGTTGTTGCTGAGGGTGCCCGAAAGGCCAGTCTATAATGCTGTTTAAGGTTTTGGGGGGGTTTTTTGTGGTCATGTACTGATCCTCTGCTTCACTGGCCAGTCAGTCCTCTCATGTAACACTCTCTCTCCTCTCATTATCTCCTGTTTGCTCTGATTCTCAAAGTCTTCCCCTTCAGCAGTATCGGTGTGCATGTGACAAAGGATTTGAGAGCTTATTCAGTACATGATGCATGATTTTTATTTTATTTTTTTTGGAAAGACACAAAGAGACTTCAAAACCTTCAAATGCTGGAGGTGTTAAATCAAATCTGAAATATTGTGGGAGGAAGAGAGCAAGAGGAATTAAAAGAGTGGGGGTTGACTCAAGCTGAGCAGTAGGAAAAATAAAAGGAATATTATACCGAAGCCAAAATGGTTCATTATTCAGATTTTCATTTACTATGAGAATCTCCCATATCCGCTGTCTCTCTCAAACGTGCTTTCCACATCTCTGGTTTGAGTTTGTGTTTCCAGCTCTCAGAATAATCCTCTATATTTCGAAGGCTTGAACTTTGGATTTTTCATTCACTTAAGGTATTAAAAGTATGCTTGAAAGACTCTATTGTTTCAATGGGTTGCACTGCATGGTTCAGAATTTACACTACTAATGCCTTATTGTGCAAATAAGTCTGGAGAAAACAGAATAGTCAGACTGCTCATGTTTGCGTCCACTAAACAATCCCATATTGATAGAATTCTATCTTTGTGAATATTTATGGTCCCCAGTTTCGAGGTATCCTTGTAATCTTAAAATAATGCAGTCTCAGTAATGCAGGATTTGCAGTATTTAGTTGGTTGTTATATAAATAGCTCGAGTCTATTCATATTTACATTAGATTTTGTTTTGCATCTGGCATGACAATGCAAATCTTCTTTTTGCATGAAAGTAGCCTAATAGCAGCAGTCTTCTGCTGCTGTTGTCCATCTACAATAGCTTAAAGTAGCCTGGTCATTTTCCTCTGACCTCTGGTATCAATAAGCCATTTTCTCATTTTCAACCATTCTCTGTAAATCTTAGAGATGGCTGAGTGAGGAAATCCCAGCAATTTCTGAAACACTCAGACGCTTCTGGCACCAACAACCACGCCACATTTAAAGTCACTTAAGTCTCCTTTCTTCCTCAATCTGATGCGTGGACGTGTGAAATGAATGCAATGTATGAAATAAATGTTTGGTTCTGGTACTGTATATTTTAAATAGTGGCCGTATAGTTTAAATAATGAAAAACAGAACACTTTGTAATTTTTACATATTATTGAAGAAAATATTACAAGGTTATTAGCAGAATAGAGTTAAAGCAAAAAACTTCCACAGGAAAAACACTGAATTCTTCTCAGTCTGTCGTAATGCAGACAAAAAAGGTAACCTAAAGACTCTATTACAGCACACCTGAACCATTAGACGTCCAGGGGCTGAAAGCTAAATGTTGTCAGGATTAATATGCTGCTACTCTGAACGACTGAACGACTCTTGCACGACAACCCAACACATCCAAATATCAATACAGGGTTCATACACCTTTTTCAGGGTGAAATTCAAGTACTTTTTAAGTACTTTCAAGGTCCCTTTTCAAGCTTTTTTCCAGCACCCCCCCCCCCCCCAAAAAAAGTGCATGTTTCAATTTGCATCACCTCTGTAAGACCATGTGAAAATTAAAATCATCCTAGGTGAACTTAAACACCTTTGATCCCCTTTTGTTAAGACAGAAAAACACACCACACAAAAATACTGCAAAAGGACGGTCGCCTTATATACATTGTGTATAAACTCAAAATGCACATTTCACTTAAAAATGAAGATGTGAACAAATCAACTTGTTAGAGATATTCTTCTCCTGTTGAAAAAAAAACCCCAAAAAGAAATAAATAAGTCTTCTCATCAGATATTGATGCCTCTTTCCTGTGTGACAGAAAATAAGAGACAGATGTTTGTTTGTTTTTTAAGTTAATTCCCAATAAAACTGTTTTATTGCTAACTACATTGCTGTCTGTATTATTGCTGAAGTCCTAAACGTCACCTTTAAAGTGTTTGTGCTAATAACATCATGTACAGTCAGACAGGCATGGACAACAGCACTGACTGGGAGGCTTTGAACAGATCACAGAGTTCAATTCAACATATAAGACTTTAAGAATGCACAAGCATCTACTTAAAATCTATTTAATTTATCATCTGTCATATTATTATGTACAATTCCAATGTATTTTGTTCATCTCACTTAAATAAACAGGCAGCCTTAAAGTATGAAATATTCATATACAAATACACATATAAATGTGTGTACTGTCTCAGTGGCTGATAGTGCCCCACAGGCCTCAGTGTGAGCTTGAAGACATTTATAATGTTTAAGTATGTGTCGGTGCTGACGATATACATTTTGAATGAAACTTTGGTAGCACAGAAACAAGTGGCTATTCTTTGTGACCATATGGATCACTCATATTACCATTATTTCACCCAAAGGCACCAAATTAATACTTAAAAAAGCTGCAGCAATACACACAAATATAAACAGTACTTGGTGACAACTTTGCTTTTAGCCTTTAACCCTCTGGGGTCCAGGGTATAACTGGCCGTTTCTGACTACTTTTGATTTGGCCTCCATATGTCACCTTTAAAAACTGTTTATCTTGCCAATCTGTTATTTACTCATTTTGACATACTGTAAATATGTAAATATTGTGCTTAAAACACGAGTAGAAAGTGATATTTTTGACTGTAAAAACCACAAGCATGTTTAATGAATCATTTTCATAACTTGAAATGCAAATAGAAATTGTACATTTTTAAAAAATATGCAAAAGTTTGCAAACAACAAAGTTATATGGTACTATTTACCTAAAAATGCAGCCAAGGCTCAGGTGTTTTTTATATAACCATTTCAAACTATTTACAGAACAATCAGGTGTTCTGCATCAAAGAAGAAGGCACTTAAATTATTTATGCAACTCCAAAAAATTGTTTGTGTCCACTATAACACAGATGAGAACAGCACAGGGATAAACCTGCAGGTCTGACAGCAGGTGTGTCACTCGGCATTTACACTGCAATCTGCCTTTGGTGGCTTTAAGGCAGCAACTGTGACGTTCACTAGTAGAACTGACACACAAAACAACGACTACACCACACAATAACTACACAAGACAACACACTAACTTGAGACTCCAAACACAGTAAACTCTCTCTCTTTCACTCACTCGCTCTCTCTCACTCCTAAAACTTCCCCCTCTTCCCAAACAACCAGATGCCACATGTTGCCATATCATATTTTGATTGGTCCACACGGTACATTTTTCCACCAATAGGGAAGGAGTGTTTTTCTTTTCTTTTCTTTTCTTTTTTCACTCACTATCAAAGCGTTTTTGCTAGCGGTCTCCTTAGAAAACGCTGTTTTTACCGTTTCTTCCCGGAGTACACGGCACTGTTTACTTGGCCTATCAACACAATTTAAAACCTGGTACATAGTTTGAAGTCCGCACGTTCGACCCAAGTTGAAATGGAGAATCTGGGTCCGTCGACCGCAGAGGGTTAACCAGAAAGCCTCAAGTTGGCTAGTTATGTATCGGGCTAATGTTTAAAGCTTTCACTTGAGTAAATTAACTCATATCACTGCTAAGTAATGTTAGCTAAGTTCACAGCATATTCCATAATAGCGCTGGCATACTGCATCAGTGTATTTCAATCATTTCTCCAGCGAGTTTGATACCAAAATAATAATCATAATTTTAAAAAATAGCGTGTGTAACGTACACGTACTGGAAAATTATTTACTAGTATAGTAAATAATTACTGACTGGAGAGCGCAAACTCCACCATTTGTTCCATCAAACACTCAACAGCAACCTACAGGTATGTTAGCGCACTCATCCCGGACTGTCCGACGGAGGGGCGGGGTCACACGTTGAAACAGACACAAGGCAGCCCAGACGGCGAAATTTTGCTTTTACATTTTGCGACTCATTTTATTTCTCTATCTGATAAGAAAACTATTCAATCAGATAGTTATTTGTGGTGAATGAAATACAGTTACACTTTTAAGCACCACATCTGAAATTCAAGCACTTTTCAAATCTTGAAAAGACAACATTAAAATTCAAGCATTTTCAAGGATTTCAAGCACCCATACGAACCCTGTTAATAACAACAACACCGGATTACAAGCATTACATCTAATTCCTACTAAAAACCCACAACTAATTCCTGACCTCTGAGTCAGGAAAACCCAGGGTTTTGTTGTTTTTTTTAAAATCCACACATTGATGCTGTTATGAAATTTAAGAGCTCCACAACCAGAATAAATATAATACACAATCATGTGGGCCATGCAAAATGTGCAGAGCACCACTGAGCTCTTTCTCTTTACATAATTATAATCTTTATGTTGTAGTTTATATACAATTTTTATATTGTAGATAATAAAATTTGTTTGAAACTTCTTCATTCCATCACGTCACCATATTTTGTCTTCTGTGGTGCTGTTGGTTCCTCTTGTTGGGGTACTGAAAGACAGTAAAGAGAAAGGTAGAGATGAAGCATACGGTCTTCATTTGGTGAATCATAAGTGATGAAATGATACACACCGATAACTTTTCTGATCATAAATCGATATACCTCAATAGGTTGACTCTTCAATCTTATATCCAAGACAACAGTTAACACAACATTAAATTCACATTTCATACAGTTCTGCACTGTGCTCACCTGGAGGTGGTGACCTGTCTGGGACTTTGCCTGTTTCTAGGAGCAACCAGAGGTCTGAGCATTTCTGCGTTTCCCAGCGAGTCACTGCGTAACTGCCCACTGATGATGCCACTGAGAGCACACAGGGGAGAGACAGAGGTTTCAGTGGCAGCACGGATGTAAGATCTACATTTGAGAGCTAAATACATTTCTTTATGTATTTTTAATAGTGCAATCCAAATATTTTACTCCTCACCTATTGAAATGAGCAGGTTCCACTGAAGGGGATAAGGAAGCTTCCTCTGTAGGGCCTTCTGAATAGCAAAAAAACCTGCAACACCTGCACCAACAACACAACTCACTGTCACATCTAAAACCAGGGAGAAACATTTACACTTGTAACTGTGCAGTTTTTCTTATTGCTGCTGGTTGTTGTTTTGTTTTTTTGTTTGTTTGTTTGTTTTCAATTAAACTAATTTCTAGGTTAAACCTAAAATGACAGATGACCTGACAGCTGAGTGGGTAGGACACAGACGGGTAAATGCCATCAGCAGTGGGCACTGAATTTGATTCCCAGCTGACTGGACATTCACTGTCATTCCCACACTTTCTTTCACCATGTCTCTTGTTGGCTCTGAATAAAACTGAAAATGCCAAACAGTCAAGCTTTTGTTTGGAGGGTGGTAGGTGTACTAGAGCTTGCAGGAGTGCTCACAGACATATTCAATCTGTCCTTGGCCCATGCTTTGGTACCGGCCTGCTTCAAATCCACCTCCATCGTCCCGATACCCAAAAACTCCAACCCATCTAGCCTCAATGACTACCACCCAGTAGCACTCACCCCCATCATCACTAAGTGCTTAGAGCAGCTGGTCCTAGCACACTTCAAATCCTGTCTCCCCCCCACCCTGGACCCCCACCAATTCGCATACCGCCAGAACAGGAGCACAGAGGATGCAGTCTCCATCGCACTGCACTCTGTCCTCTCACACCTGGACAACAACAAAACCTACGCCAGAATGCTGTTTATAGACTTCAGTTCAGCATTCAATACAATCCACCCCTCACAACTCATCAGGAAACTGACAGACCTGGGCATCAGTTCCTTCATCTGCAAATGGTTACTGGACTTCCTGACCAACCGCTCCCAACATGTCCGGCTGGATAACCGCTGCTCATCTACAATCACAATGAACACCGGTGTACCACAAGGCTGTGTGATGAGCCCTTTCCTCTACTCCCTCTTCACCCACGACTAGAGACCTGCAGTCATGGTTCCAACACCATCATTAAGTTTGCAGATGACACCACAGTGATTGTCATCAGTGACAATGATGAGACCACCTACAGGGAGGAGGTGGATCGTCTGGCTGATTGGTGCGACACAAACAACCTGCTGCTTAACACCGAGAAGACCAAGGAGCTCATCGTGGACTACAGGAGGAATGCTGACCCACATCCACCCATCCACATTAAAGGGACGGCTGTGGAGCGTGTAAGCAGTTTCAAGTTCCTGGGTGTCCACATCTCTGAGGATCTCATCTGGACGACCAACTGCTCCAAGCTGGTCAAGAAGGCTCACCAGCGCCTCTTCTTCTTGAGGACTCTGAGGAAGAACCACCTGTCCTCAGACATCCTGGTGAACTATCGCTGCACCATCGAGAGCATCCTGACCAACTGTATAACAGTCTGGTACGGGAACTGCTCTGCCTCGGACCAGAAGGCGCTGCAGAGGGCCCTCTGGGAGGCGCTACAGGAGCCTCCGGACTAAGACCACCAGGTACCGGAACAGCTTCTTCCCCACAGCTGTCAGACTCCTGAACTCTGCCTCCTGACATCTGACCTATGTTAAACTCATGGACTGAACATACACACACCCACAACCACCTACACACACACAATGGACAACCGTACCCTCAAACACACAATAATAACATGGACTGAACCACCACTCACAACCACTAGCACTTTATATACCTCTGTAGAAATTATCCACATATCTCACTTATCTTAACTGCACTACTGTATAGTTCTGTGTAAATAATCATTCTGTACGATAATTTTTAATCCTACAACTGTTTATAACTTGCATAGTTCACATTTCTGTATAACTGTATATCTCAGATTTCTGTATAGTTTTTTATTTCATATTTATATCCTGTTCATAGCCTGTACATAGCTTGTACTCACTACAGCCTGTACATACTTATAGTTATAGAATATTCATAACATACTTCATACCGTGTAATTATAACATACCATAATAGACCCATTTCTGTAATATACTTACATATCTATATTATTGCTAATATATATTGTAATATATCTATATCACTAAAGCACTTCTGGATGGATGCAAACTGCATTTCGTTGCCCTGTACCTGTGCATGTGCAATGACAATAAAATTTAATTCTATTCTATTCTATTCCCTTGGACAAAAAGGCATATATCCTCTCACTGGACACTTTATTAGTACAAGGCCTTCAAAAATGGCTTATTTCTTTTTTTTGCAACTTCAACAAGTTTCTCAAAACATTCCTCAGAGATTTTGGTCCATATCAACATGATCACACACTCATGCACATCCATGATGTGAATCTCCTGTTCCGCAACATCCCAAAGGTGCTTTATTGGATTGATGTCCTTGTTCTTGAAACCAGTTCAAGATGATCTGACCTTTGTGACAGCCATTAGAAGATGGTTACACTGTGGTCACAGAGGAACGGACATGGTCATTTACTGAAGCAGTGAGTTACTCTAGACTTCCTATCAACTCAAAGCATGCTGGCCATTCTCCTCCAACCTCTGACATCAGCAAGGTATTTTCAACCAGAAAAGTGCTGATCACGGGATATTTTGTCTTTTTCACACTATCCTCTACCAATCATAGAGATGGTTATTACAAAAATGTTTACTAGAACAGCAGCTTCACCTTTCTTCCCCACACTGATGCTCAGTTTGAACTCCAGCAGTTCGTCATGACCATGTCTAAATGCCTAAATGCACTGAGTTGCTGCCATGTGATTGGCTGATTAGATATTTGCGTTAAGAAACGGTGAGTATATTGTCAGAGCTATGTTTGGGTATCCTTCAGTGCATTTTTGTTATCATTTCTTCATTAAAAACATTTACATTATGAACAGCTGGCATAAAAACAAAAACAGTCCAGGATGCTAAAGAGCAACATCAAAAACATAAATAGATATAATAACAACATATAATATTTTAACTTTAATAGTACAATCATTTTCTCCCTGTGCTGAGATCAGTGTGATCATTGTGGGCGATACCACAAACATTTACAGAATACAGCTCCCTCTTGTGGTATATTCTGTCTGCAAAATCCGGTCATCTGTTTTGTTTGCCTAAATTCACGTTGACCTTACTTCAGTGTCTCGATTTTCATTAAAAATCTCAACACAATGCAGAAAAAAATGATAACAACTGAGGTTCAGAATTACACATAAAAACAGCAGCACTGACTGGGTCAAAGTTAGAGTAACACAGCCAACAAGGATTTGGATGAAAGCATTAAGAATGTACAAATAGGAGAAAGTTAAAGATTGTAACATGGACTGAAATATTTCTTATTTTAAGTGTGTGACTTTTAATGAATAAATAAATAAATAAAAGTATTACCCAGCACAAAGGTCCCAGACCCCTTCATGAAAGCATGAGACTGACAGGCGGCGTAGCTTTCCAAACCCTGAGAGACAACAAATAAAAACAGCTCTCACCTGAGCTTGTTACACATTTCTGTTGTATCTATGGAAAAGGTGTCAATGTAAGCAGCTGCTGGTTTATTCCAAGTGTGCAGAGGGACAGTGTCCTCCAGAGTGCACAGGTAATAAAAACGCAATAAAACAAATACAAAACCCACCGGATGTTTGGCCACCAACGCGTCGTCCACTTTGGTGAGCCCCAGATTAACCATGTTGAAGCTGGAGGTAACTTTTTTATATATATAAGAAATAACCTCTTTAGCTCATTTCCTAACTTCTTAGTCCACAGCTTGCTGTAGATGTACTATTATGAAAGTTCCGTGTTTGAGAACAACAAAAACCGAAGAAGGAAAAATAGAGCAGTCTGTTCAAAACTGTGGCGACATCTAATGGAGGGAGAGTGGTACTGCACCCTTGCTAACTCAAGGTAGCATTTTAGAGGTTGCTTGCAAGAAAGAAAAACACAAGATAATGCATACATGAACAAAATATATACTCACTCACTAACGCAAATATCTAATCAGCCAACCACATGGTGGACATTGTCAGGAAAGGTAGTTTAACAGATTTTGATTGTGGTGTGGTTGTTGGTGCCAGACTGGCTGGTCTCAGGATTTCATAAACTGTTCATCTACTGGGATTGTCCCACACAGCCATCTCTGGGGAAAGAGGAAATATGCATTGGTTCTGTGTGAGAAAATGCCTGGCTGAGGAAAAACAGCCACTCTTTGAGCTGCTGATAAGAAGGCAATGGTAACTTAAATAACCACTTGTTAAAACCAACGTATGCAGAAGAACATCTCTGAACACATAACATACCGAACCTAGAAACAGACTGCCACTCCTGTCAACTAAGAACAGGAAACTGAGGCTACAAATCATGCAAGCTCCCAGAAGATTAAAACATTTAAAAAGAAAAACCTTGCCTGGTGTTGTGAAGTTCAACAGTAAGAAAAAAAATATATGTAATATGAGAGACAACAAACACTCATTTTGAAAGGAGTACTTATATATTAGAGAGGGTCCATTTAAGATTTTCCCCCAGACTGAAGAAATGTAAGTGCTGTACTTACACATGATGGGGAGATTTATGTTCTGCAGTGGTAAAGGTCCACAATTTAGAGCAACAGACAATACCAGCACTAAGTCATGCAGTAGACAAGGAACACACACACACACACAAAGCAAAAAATGTATTCTTATGGAAATACACTTTCCTCATTTCCATAAGAATAAGGTTTTCTCCTCTTTGTTGTGCGCATGTGCAGAACTTGACCTCTGGGTGTTTCGGATGTTATCTCGACGTTTAAAAAAGATGGTTTAGCCAGTGCTACCCAAACTTCTTTGCACATATTCACACACACATAACAAAGGGCACCTAAACCCCCACATGTGGGACGCTTTCAGCACAAATGCAGACTTGAACTATCAAACTTTTCATTCAGGATTGTATTTATCTCCTTTTTTGGGTACCACTGGGCTTCACTGTTGAACTACTTCACCAAAATGGTCTCTAATCTATACTCAGAAATAAAAATTCTTCTTATTAGCACTACAAAAATGTCAGATAGATCAAATCTCAATAATCTGCAAGTGCCCAGACTCTCTGCTGATGTCTGTGACCGGTCTGTTGAACTCTGACACCACAGTGGCCTAAAAGATTTAAAGACCTGAGAGCAGTTTCTGTCCTAGAAGAAAAGAACAGGCAGATGGAAAGAATCCAACTGCTGAGACCCAAGAAACAACACCAAGGGTAGAGTTACCGGGAGGCCACAGCAGAGCATCCGAACATCTGTTGCTTGTTACAGAGGAGAGAAAACAAAGGGCAAAGGGCCGCTGGAGATACATGAAGCATAGACTGTAAGAAAGCATTTTAGCTCTCAAGGTGGTGACTGTGATGACGCATATAATGTTTGATTTATTATTCATCATACTTTCACAATAAGAGCATAAATGTTGAGATTAAAAGTGAGCCAATAGGCTTAATAGGTTCAGTCAGTGCCGACGCAACGTGATGGAAGACAGCAGCTCCATTAAAGAGCGACTTCCCCTTTAATCTTCTCATCTTCTCTGTTTTCATTCCTATAACTAATAAAGCAAATTTTCACAATAAAATGTCAAATGTAACTGAAAATAAATACTGATCTGATGACTTATTTTCTTCCTTTCCCTTTGATTTATCCAGTGGCTCTATTTAAGACCCGGGTCCGTTGCCTTGAAACAGAGTGATAAAATAGTAATAGCTCTGCCTCAGACAGTTGGGGTGAAATAATACACCTGGTATGTTTTTAGTCAAATTTTGGGTTTGATACTCTTAAGTGTATTTATTTTTACTTAAAGTGGACTAGCTTTGCTGATTCACAGTTCAAAATAATCTCTTTCCCTCCATTTAAAGCAACTTGCTCCTGATTGGCTGCCCTTCTCAGGCAGCACTGAGCAATGCTTGCACACATGCTGACGTCATTATTGCAAACTTGGCTACATTTTATATCCATCTCTTAAGACATCATATGCATGACAGAAAATAAGCAATTGTATAACAGGGCTAAACTTTAAACTGGTTTTTGTATTTTAAGTATTCATATTAGTAGGTTATTTACAGGACATGCATATTTGTGAAGAGTTTGGTCTAAATTAAAACAATAATAATAATAATGAAAAGGATATTTCACCCCAGAAGGTCTTTTGGACTGAATGAAAACATATACAGCGGACATGAAAAAATAGCTAAATACACTACATACTGGTAAAATCTACATTTTAGCCACACACGTCAGAGCCCGGATAGCTCAGTCGGTAGAGCATCAGACTTTTAATCTGAGGGTCCAGGGTTCAAGTCCCTGTTCGGGCGAGAAATTTTGACGTGGAAGAGAATGGAGCTGAGAAAAGTAGTGCTGGACGTTGAGATAAAGATAGAGAAAGAAGTAGTAGCGAGCGGCCTCCGCCGTACCTGACTTTGGTTTGTCCAAGTAACTGCAGGTTAGCCATGACTTTTCTGTACTTTTTATTTTTTTTATAAATGTCGTGTAATGTTTTTTTGTCACGGGAATGTTCGTAATGACATAAAAATATTATAAATGTTGTTCTGCTTCATTCTAACCGGCTGATTAGTTTGTTTTACACTCCTGGAAACACACAAACGAAACCCGTTCAGCCAATCACATTCATCGCACTTTTATCTGCGACAAACTGCAGCGATGTCCACGTCTTCTCTATCGAGCTGTGGGACAGCAAGCTTTAATGTTTAAATGGATCCAGTTTCAGAGACCTAATGTGCTGCTGTCACCTTAGAAATAATCAACAGCACTGGGAGCTCACTCAGTGACAAAATCATTAACTGTATTTAAGCTGATGAATTTGCATTTACAGCAGTGTTGGATTTTGCTGGTATATTTTTATGCTCTTTAGAGATTTTTTTATTACCCTTTGATGACATCTCTGGAGTAGGTGGCACTCATAGTAATGATTTTCTGTGGAAGAAAAATCATATGATCCGTGGACCTCCCTCCTCCCTTTCTGATTTGTCAAATGCTGCCAATGCCACCCTATGGCATTGTGACTATTCATCTCGATCGTAAGTGAATTCAGAAAAGGGAAAGATGTCCCGGGTATATGCTGAGTGAGCTTCGTAGTATAGGGCCCTGGTGACTTGGTAAGTACAGGTGAGGACCTGATGAATGGAGGAAAGTTAGAATATCGGAAAGTGCAGAGGAAGTGAGGGCAGCTATAAAGAGCGGAGAGAGAGCAGTTGCCTTTAAGACCAGATTGTTTAACACCATGCCTGAAGAAATGAGGCGTTGATGGTCAAGAAGCAGGCTGATGTGCAGCGCTGTAATATCTAAAAGAGTTGTTAAAGCTCAGTTATGAAGAGAAGTGATGAGCAGCAGTATGGCTGGTGCCAAGAGAGGAACTGTGGTACTGTATGAGGAAGTCTGGAGTGAGGGTGGTGAGACTGCGGTGAGGAGTGCAGTAGGATTGACACAGGTTTAAGATGGGGAGTTGGATTACATCACGTACTGACTTTGAGTTCATTTTCGTTTGCGATGGTGATGGACAGGTTGACAGATGAGGTCAGGCAGGAGTCTCTGTGGACTATGACGCTCACACCTGCAATGATGTATGGTTTTGAGGCAGCAGAAAGGCAGCACATTTTTAAGTATAACTCGGGTGAGAACTGGTGATTGTAGTATTTTTTGATCGGAGCATGACAAAGTTACACAGATGAATCCCTTCCACTCAATTAATGAATTATTCTAGTACTTGGAGGCATTTCTTTGTGAGACCAAGAGTTCAGATAATCAAAAGACACTTTAGGAATCAGCAGACTTCTTTTTTTCAACTGCTCCATTCAGGAGTCACCACAGCGGATCATCTGCCTCCATCACCTCTGTGATCTTCTTCTTTTCCTCCTGCCTTAAAACACTATCCCTCCTCTGCACCAAAACCATGTCCAAACCCACTCGAGCTGAGCTGTCCATCTGATGTACTCATTTGTAATTCTGCTAACTCCCAGAGAAAGACTGAGCATCTGCACCGCAGCCTCCTGTTTGTTATCACAGCAGGTCTCATTATGGTCCTCTAAACCTTCTCTTTCACTGTTATATCCTTCTGTCACAAATAACCCTCTGACACTCATCTCCAACCACTCCACCCTGCCTGCACTCCCTTCTTCACCCTTCTTGCGCCCTGTCCATTGCATTGGATGGTCAACCCCAGGTATTTAAACCTGTCCACCTTCCCTCTCATTCACCTTGTCTCACTTTTACTGACTTTTATCACTGATCTCTGCAGTGCATACCTCTACCTGCTCCCTGCTCTCACTGTATGTGGCCCCTGTATGCACATCAAACCAAACTCCACCAAATGAGGTTCATTTTTATTTATTATCATTTAACATTGGAAAAGCAACTGTCGGTTATCCCAGTTGTACTTCCATTCACATATTGTAGCTCTTTATTTCTAGGTGATTAATGCGTATATTTTTACCCAAAAAAAATAATAATAAAAATTTGTTTTAGACACAATCTGTACACTCTGTCCAAATCCACACCACACCCTTCACCTCATCTACGACAGGTACGCCAACACGGGAGCCAAATTTTAGTGCAGTGTTCAAAAACATTCACATTCACACACGCGCGCACAAGAATAACAAATAAATCACATGTACACATGCTTATTAAGTGTTGGGAATTCTCACCTAAGAAACAAGAGGACACATTAAGCAGGTGTGCATTGTCGGTAACACAAGGAAGGCAGGTGATTTGTGGATAAAGTCGACAAGGACCACGGTGTCTTTAAAACAAAAA